TTTGGGGAGGGGGGTTGTCAATATGACACTAGCTTGTTCTCTGTAAAGAACCTCAACTGAGAAAAACGTCTCCATCAGACTGTCCTATGGGCAAAGCTGTAAAGTATTTGCTTGATTAATGGTTACCATAAGAGGGCCCAGCCCACTGCAGGTGGTGACACCCCTGAATAGGTGGTCCAATACTGTGTAAGAAAGCAGGTTGCACAAGCCATGAACAGCAAGCCAGTAAGCAGCACTCCTCCACGGCTTCTGTTTTAGTTCCTGCCTCCAGGTTCCTGTCATGAGTTCCAAGCACTTGAGGGATGGAAGCTGGAGAATCAGAATTGAAGGTCATCCTCAGCTACATAGCAAGTTCTAGACCACCCAAGGCTCGTCTCAAAAAAGAATTCTTATCTCAAAAGTTAAAAAGCAGGAATCATCACCTTGAAAACACAGGGCTATTTCAATAAAGAGAGCACAGCTGGTCTAAGCTGAGGCAGAGAAACCAAAGGTTAATGGCTCAAAGAACACATGTACAGTTGTTATTTTCACTCAACAGTCTGATTTTAGAGGGCTATCTCTTAACCCTGTCTTACAGTCCCTCTACGTATCTTCCATGTGCCTTCAAAGTTTTTGTTTCTGTTTTTTGGTTTTAAATGAACTGGTATGTAGGGCTGAAGATGGCTCAGTTATTAAACGCACTTAGAGCTCTTGCAAAGGATCTGTTCCTGTTTCCAATATCTACATAGTGGCCCAGAATCATCCTTAACACCAATTCCAAATGATCTGACACCCTCTTCAACCTCTGTGGATACAAGGTACATGTGGTATACACACATATGCAGGCAAAATACTCACACATAAAAGAAATTTTAAAAAAGAGAGAACTGGAATATTGGTCTGAATTTTAGAAATACAATTCTAACCTTAAATAGCAAATAAACTTCTAAGAGTAAGGACCAAAGGTGAGACAGGCAAATACAGCGCGTTATACAATGACAGAGCATCTTCTTTAAAAAAAAAAAAAAAAAAAAAAACCAAAAAACTCAGTTTACCAGTTATCTTACCAGGTCAAATAGAAAGTAGCTCTTTGCTCCAAGAGTCAGAAGTTCTAGCTCAAACAAATCCAAGCTATACTGCATATGAATGCTGCCAGTGACAAGAACAACAAGGAGAAAAGGACCAGCTCACAAAACAAAAAGTCACCATCCATTACTGAAAACATTTCTCAAAGCATAAAAATTTTGTGAATTTCTTTATTTCTGCATAGAAAATAAAACTAACATTAATCCAAAACAGTCATTAAAAGATGTGCCTTGAAGGGCTGGGCATGAATGATACCCTGGGTTTGATGCTCAGTCATATAAGAAAAAATAAGCCTTGATATTTGTTAGAAATATGATTAATGTCTGATTTTTACCTATGTTAGAAAGTGCACTCTGGTTTCTACACCAAGTTCTAACCAATGGAAGTAAATTACCTAATACTATACAATACTGTATTAATATGATGTGCCATCTCACACACAGTCTAATGATTGAAACTTAGATGTGCTTTCACCTTTAGTCATTACTAAGACATTCAATATTAAAATTAAATGTGATATTTATCAGCTAGATCCAGTAAAACAAATATTGCTAAAAGTTTGTAAAAAATTAATATAAAAGTATTCATTAAATTAAAGCAGCACAGATCCTATGCTATAAGACTTTCAAATTAACCAATAAGCTTATGCTATTTAATCATAATAAACTGGACAGAGGGTGTGCTTATCATGTGGTGTACAGATAAAGTTAACGCAGATGAAGTCATTTGGCTTCACAGACCAGGCAAAATGAAGTATGAAAAAACCAGAGATTACTTACTAATGAAAAGCTATTTCAAGCATATTTATTCCAGATAGGTGAACAATTTTTTCTTCTAAATTCAAATGTTAAAGGCCATGTCTTATACTCTCATAACTAATGTAAGACATAATTCACTGAAGATATTCAAATCTAATTCTAAAACAATTGAAGTAGAGACTAGAATCAAGTCACAATCACAGATGAAAACTCTAAAGTAAAACAGCCAATGAAAACATTTTATATATGATCTGAGAGTAAACTGGCACTGGACTATTTTTCCAGCATGCACACATGAGCACTCTCCTATACCAAGTCCTTGTGTCACTAAGTATTCTCACACTGACATACATAAACAATCTTCCTAGGAAAAGATACAAGAAAGGAAGGAGAGAGGAAAACAAGGTAACATGCTTTTGTGTACCAAGGCTCAAGCAGTGAGCTATGAACTCATCTCATTTAAAGTCTAATGCCATGGGACAAGTGGCACAATTCCACTTTACTGATGCTAGTTCATTAGTTTTGTCAGTAGTAAAGTTGGCATCAAAATCAAGATCTGACTAAAAAAAAAAATCAAAGAGCCTTCCTTCAAGGCTCTTTGCATGAGCTTATCTATCTTAGAAATTCATTCAATTTCCCTATTTACTCTTCTTTACTTAAACTGGAGAAGGCATCCACTTCTCAATTTATGAATAACACATTCATGAGTATTTTTAATCTTGTAAAAAAAAAGCAACAGTGGTCATTTTCAATACACAAAGCAGTATTCTCTTTGCCACCTTCACTGACAAAAAGTTTACACTATACTTTGTAACATTCTTATGAACCATGAGTTTATCTTTAAAGGGGAAGTATGATATGGTAATACAGAATGTTAGAAATTTAAATACCTCAGAAAATCCATGAATTTCATCACTATATGTTACAATGAATTCGTCTTCTTACCAGACTAAAAGATGCAAGAGGAAAACTGATGGTTTTCGAAGTAGACTGACAAGCATGCTACTTTAGAAAAACAGATTTGATTGTGGACCCCTCCTAAATCAGAACACCACGTACTAAGATTTAACTTAGCAAACATCACCTTCAAATCCAAAGTTACAGTGACTAAAATACAGAAAAATTGCATTTCCAGTTACAAAAAAAAAAAAAGACCTTTGTCACATATACCTGCTGCGGAAACATAAAAACTACATAGAGAATTAAATTACTCTCAAGGCATAATTCCCCATGCTAATGTTACAATCATTTTTAAACCTCAGCTCTTCCCTCCTTTGATCTCCCTCCAACTTTTCAATTTAATATCTTATTAGAAGAATAAAGAGCAAGTTTACCTTCATGAAAGACTCTGACTTTATGTCTAACAACAGTACGAATGGAAGGCGGTAGGTAGGTACGGTTGTCTTTGGAGAGGTCACTGTTCTTCACTAGCATTGACAGTTTTAGTACACACATATTTCTCACAACACTCTTGCAACAAGAATTATTAATCTAGAGTCTGCAAGCACAAAAATGGCCAGTTTCCACCATTTTAACATTATTTAACTCTCAACCTTGTGTGCTGCAACAATGTGTACTGAGAATTAAAAGTAATTCAAGTTCAATAAATTCACAACACAAAGTAATTGTACTATCTTATACAACATACAGATATGTTCCAGTAAACACTCCATTTGTATAGCACAGCATTTACTATCATTTAAATCATCTTTGGGGGAATTCGTCTCCCTAAAAGTTGTCATTTACAAGCAAAGTAATAAAGTCAGAGCTCTGACGATACAAAAACAAGACAAAAGTGGATATACAAGTGTCACAAATAGCATAATAGTGGCTTCATCCTCATTTTCTAAATCCACATTTTTAAAAAATGTCATTTTTGTATGTTTGGGGAAAAAAATACTTTGTTTACCTTTTCCACAGACTGTTCAAGCACTGTCAAGGTAACACAGATTTTAAAACTGACAACTAGACTACTTAGCAGTTGCCAAAACAACGCAGCTGGATTCTTAAAGGGAAAGTACTCTTGTGTAATATACACCTAATTACTGCTTTAGAGAACCTCACTGTCACACAGTAATGGATGATACAAGACATGAAGGAGACACAGCGCGCTACAAAGTTGAAGACTGTTATTCCTCATATTAGTTTTAAAATACGTATACCGTTGTCAACACATCGCAGCGGGTCTTCTAATTGCAGTTGCTGGGATCCCAATTTCATAGTAAACTAGCGTTAAGGCAATGTTGTATTCAATCTACACACGGTTCCCTACTGGATCATGACAGGAGGCTAGGAACCTATTTAAGGTCTAAGCAAGAATTTGATAGTTACACTTTCTCGGGGAGAGGGAGGAAATGCTAATTCAGAAATGCTCACCTTCCCCAAACTTGTCTGCGTGCTCACCTATCTCTAATCCTCAACTGTCCAAAAACAGATGATACAGAACCCAAAGGTAAAGTTTTCATCTCACCACGCGCCCCCTGCGCGGCAGATCTACTCGATCGCGGCGGGCAGGGAGCGGGTCCCTTCTGCAGCCCCTACTTCCCGAGACCTTGCCCCGCACCCGCAGGTGCTGGGAGCCCGGCCGCCGCCCGGGCCAGCCCGACACACACCCTGCCACGGACATCCCCACGGCGGAGTTCAGCCCCCTACCTTCCGCCCCAGCGAACCAACCTTTCCCCGAAGCAGAAGTGGGGGAACTTGAAGTGCGAGCACGGGGCCGGACACCCCCCACCCCGCTCCGCACCGGAGGTCTAGCGCGCTGGAGGACCCCGCGGTTCGCGAAGCCACAGAAATGGACCGAGCGGCTCCGCGGCCCCCTGGGAACTCCGTCAACTTTCAGGGAGGAGCGGTGCGACGCGGCGGGGGCCCCCCGAGGTGGCGCGCTCGGGAAGGCGGCCCACGACGGTCTCCCCCCCCTCCACGGCCCCCCGCCGCCGCCGCGCCCGCAGCCCCCGGGCCCGCCCCGGGGCACCCCGCCCCCACCGCGCGCCGCCGCGCCCCTCCGTTTTCCCGAGGGCCCCGCCGCCCCGAGCCCAGCCTCGCCCCGGTGCCCGGAGCCCCGCGGGCGCCCCTCCTCGGCCGCGTCGCCCCCCCCCTGCCGGAGCCCCCCCACCTCAGCGCGGTCCGACCCCCTTCCCAGCCGCCGCCACATCCCCGCAGCCCGCGGCCCCTCACCGGGTCTCCGCTACAGCCGGCGGGCGCGCACAAGCCGCAGCCCCGGCCCGGCCCGCCACAGCACTCCGCGCCGCCCGGAGCCGCCTCCTTCAGCCCGGGACTCGCCGGGACATCCGCGCACGGATCCCCACACCGGGGCTATTTTTAGGAGTCAGGCCTCGGCCAGACCGGAACTCGTTCTTCGCGGCGCGCGTGCGCACTGCGAGGACGCCTTGGTGTCCCTCCGCCGGCCTTGCCTCTCCCTTCCTCTCGGCTTCCTCTCTTTCTTCTCTCTCTCGAGGTCCCCTTTTAGGGCTGATTTCTCCTCTCGGTGGGTCCTGAAGGGTTTGGCATGGGCGAGACAAGGAGACAGGTCAAGAGAGTCACGCCGTGTGAACAGCTATCGCTGTTTCACAAGGACATGAGGGGCGGACTATGTTTTTCCGGGTGGGTGAGGAGACAGATCACCCGGCACAGGAAGGAGATGACGGCGGCTTGGCGCCGGGGCTGCAGGCTGGAGCGCTCTTCCCTCTGAAGGACCGTGTTCTCCTGGAAGGGATACCGGTCACTTGATGAGAGCCTGGGCGTGGCGGGCCGGCGGCGTCGCGCCCCCACCGCCTCCTGGACCAGCCCGGGTCCCCGGGCTCCGGTGTCGCGGCGCGTGACCGGTCCCCGCGCTTGGTCCACGGCCACAGCTGAGTCCGGGCACCGCGGGACGACCCAGACGCTCCGAGCCGAGGCCAGGTCCTTGGCCTCGCGCGTGCTGGGCCTGCCCAGACGTCGGCTCGCCACGCCCTCACTGTGGTCAGGGCCACACCTGTGTCCGAGCCTGGACAGCGACTGGGTCACCCCCGCTGGGCCCTGGCCACTCCTTTCCAGCAGGGGCTTGGAAAGCAAAAGACACCTGGGAAATGAAGCAACCTGCCTATCTGAGCTGTTAATAGTATAGCTTCAGCGCTAAGCTGTATCTCACTTAATCCTCACATCCCCTTAAAGTACGGGAACCACTCTGAGCAAGCAGGGCCACACAGCGTCAGAGAAGGGCAATGAAGACTTGAACTCCTAACCACTGGGCGAACAGATTTTTCTAAGAGATAAAGATGTCATTGAGACAGTGGTTGTCTTTGGTTAGGTCACTGATTTTGTCCAGAGAGGTCTTCTAGAAATGAATGCTGGTCCTCATCGCAAAACCCAGAGGTGCCTGCCCATGCAATGCACACAGACCCAACCGTATATTTTCATTTGAAGATGAGCCATTCAAACAAGTCCCTGGGGTGGGTGAACAGACATACAGAGGAACTGGGAAGTTACAAAGGAAACTGGAGGCTCGCTGGCTTCCTCCCTCAAGGACAACAAGGCAATGTGCTGGGGCGAGTCTAACACAAAGACACTACAGAGATACCAGATACCAGACACTGGAAAATAAGCGCAGAGCCTCTCTTGGTGGAGGAGGATGGCAGGGAACCGTTATCTTCCCCTCTGGCCTGGCAGACCCTTTGAAGGAAAAAGGCCCAAGCCCAGGCTGCAGGGAGGATTTTAAAACACCCTAAATCTGGTGGAAACCAGCAACATATAGGGAAACGCGTGTGTTTTAACCTGCCAGGAGCTGCTACGGCAGCTGTGTTAACACCTCTCCTCCAGGAAAGCAAGACTGTTTGACGACTTCCTTCAAAACCAAGGGTGAAGGACGGAACGACTCCTCCTCAGCTGCTTTTCACCCTGGGAGAGAAGGAAGGGCAATGAGGACACGTGGTTTCAAAAGGTTCTTGACTCTCAAAGCTCCCCCAGCTCTGCCCTCCGTGTCCAATGCTCCTGGGACATACAAGACTCAACCCAGACTGCCCACCCACCGCCTACTGGCCCTGCTTTTGGTCACCCTGAAAGCCAGGCAGAGAACTTGGCCAGAAGTGCAGCCTAGACCAAAATGTTTGCATGGTTTTAGAGAGAGCCATTCTTCTGGGCGGCTCCTGCATCACAATGCCATTGCCTAAGAATTAGGAGCGTTAAGAGGATAAAGCGTGATAGGGAAAAGAATGCAGCTATTGTAAAATATGCTACCAGTGCACACTCAACTGTTAAAGCAGGTACATGGAGGAAGGCGGTGAAGCCTCTACAGACCTCAGAAACCTGTGCCTGAAGTCCAATAGCCAGCAACAGCCAGCACTTAGCTTGGCATGGACCATATGCCCAGCACTTCTGTGTGCTGCTGACTCAAAGGGAACTCCTGAGGAGCAGCACTTGGTCCCCCTACTCTGTCTGGCCTTCTTAGAGCCGCAGTGACCAGGCTGCAGGGGCTCAGCATTGCACTGGGCAATGGACTTGAGAAGAGAACAGCCCTTCTTCCTTCAAAAAGGCTGTCAGGCTAGAGCAATGATCCAGCTTAAGACACAATCCAGCTTCTCAGTCACCTTGAGAGGGACTTCCTCCTGCGACAGAGCAGACAACGAGTGTCTGCAGAAGGAAGATCATTAAGGAAGGCTTCTTACAGGGGACCATGCCCATAGAGAATCTAGAAAAATAAAAGGGCCCTCTCGTTAGCTCTTAATAGGAAGGCAAAAGAAACAGGATCCCGGGTCACCTGGTCAGAGTCTTTCTGTCTGTCACCTAACTGTCGCCACTCGGGAAACCTAATGGCTGCTTTGTGCACGCCAGCCTGTTTTCCCATCAGAAGAATAAACCGCTTTGCGTCTGGTAAGTCTCTATGCGATGGCCGTCTTCTAAGATAGCACATCAGTGAAAGGGCAGGCTGTTCTTTATGCCTGTCTGTCTCCTCCCTTCTAGAGGGTGCGCCCTATAAAGAAAAAAAAAAAGCTGATTTACTTCATATACCCACAGTGCTTGGCACGGAGTACAACTAAATGAATCCTTGTTCTATGTTTAGGAGCCTTTCCGCTGACAGTGTTCTCCTGGGGCTGGGGCTGGGGGCTTGAACATGCCACAAGAGAGGATCCATGGCTGACTTGACACACCCTCCAGATGGAGGGCCACCAAGCAGTGGTACATGAGACCGGAAGTATGGTTGGTAGTGAGGTGATGCAGAACCTGAACATACCGTCTATTTGCCTCTTACATTGAAACCAATGGGGAGCTACCAACAGACATTAAGCGGGTGGAGAGCTTGGTCTATTTGGTATATTGGGGAGCAAGAGAGAGAAGCTGTCCCAAGAGATTAGAGGAGACCAAGGAGAACTGGCCATGAAATGCAAAGGGTACTGGACCCTAGACTTGATTCTTGTACTAAAAAAGAGATCTAGGTGAGAAAGTGGTGAAATTTAACTAAGGTCTGTGTCAGTATTAACCTCCTAGTTTTTATCATCGTATCTTTATTTTAAATAAAGTGACATTCAAAGAAGAATTTATTAAATTTGCTATGCCCATTTTGAAAGGTTTTGTCAGTCTAAAATTATTGTAACACAAAATAATTTTGGAATAACAAAATAACAGTTTAGTATTTTATAGGTTACCAGTTCCCCAGCTATAACCCTTGGAGTTAATAGAACTAACATACTGGTTATATGAAGTACTTTTATCACAAAATCTAGTTGTAAAGCTACTTCAGTTTGAGCAATATTAAAACTACTGGTAAGTGTTTATAAGTATTTTGGGAAAAATACAGGAAATTGTTTTAAAATGCTTCTAATTACAGCACCAATCAGTGGAGTTCCATGTCCGCCATGTACTTGTTCCTAAACTTCAGAACCTGACACGTCCACACGCAGAATTTCCAACATTGCCTGATGCATCCTTTTGAAGCGTTAGAAGTGCTGTTTTCACTTTTCTTCGTTTATTATCTCATGGGCTTTTATTCTTCTATGAGTGATGATGAAAAGGATGAATGCAGGCTCTCAGAAAAGGGGATAAAAGATCGTTCCTTGGCTCAGTTAATATTCTTGCGCGTGAAAGTCTGCATAAAGATCCAATAAACTTGAAAAACACAAAAAAACTGGAATCTCTGACAGCTGGGTGTTTTACGCTATCGAACTTCAAATGAGTCTTTCAATTCCTATTATATGTTGTCATCTTGCTATATTGTAGTTTTTCCTTCTGTGCAGAGTTTATTCACGTTTTTGCAATGCTCTCCAACAACCAGCAATAGATTCATATGTCAATTACAGTCATTCCAAACTTTGAGTTTATTATCTTTTCACATTCTGTATCCTTCCAGAGAGGGGCTGTGTCTCACACAGACTCCTCCACATCCCACGCACATCAGCAGCTTGCGGATGAAACTCGCATGACTGCGTGCTGCCTTTGTGCTCCTGCCCCAGATGTTTCCCCTGAAGGCTGGCCCGGTCCTCTGGTCCCACCTCAGTCATTTCTTTCACGGTGCATTCCAGCATAACGAACCTTGGCTGTGTCTACTAGGATGTCCACTTAGACCCCTTCTGGGTCTAGATGTCCCCCAAAGATCTCATCCAGAGAAAATGCTAGACTCCCTCTGTGACACATTTGCAAATTATCCTCCAACTTCAATTCACAGTCTAGCAGGGATTTATGTTTGTAAGAATTTTAAGGTGTTGAGATCTGAAACAAATTTGGGAGTCACCAAAAATGTAAAGCAAAAAATTGGGGGTCAAATAGTCCTTTGCTTATGTCACTCCTCTGCCAACTTTTTCTAGTGGTGTTACATTAGGTCAATCGCTCAACTGCTCAACCTAAATTTCTTCATGTATAAGGCAATAGGAATTCTTACTTGAGGTTATTTTGAGGATTGAGTGGTCTGTGTAAATTGCTTAAATAAGCTTCACATTCATACCCCAACAGCAATTCTCCATGTGATTTCTCACTGATAGATTTTGTGGTCTTCTCCAAAGACCCTGTTCTATGCACTGAAAGTACAGAGAAGGCCCATGTTCTCGTAGAACTTGTAGACACGAAGGTAGACCATAAAAGATACATAAACACTGTCATATGTCAATAAGGGCTATGATAAAGACAACAAACTTCCCAATCACGATAGAGGAATTGTGCCAAGTCTTTAGCTTTGGGTACAGGGAAGGTTTCTCTGAGGCAGCACTATTTAAGCCAAGTGTCCAAAATCCTGGCAAACTGAAGAGTTTGGAAAGACTGATTCAACAGAAGGGAGGGTGAATTGTTTGGAGCAAAACAAGGTTAGTCTGTTCAAAGCATGAAAGGTAAGTTGGGAGACAGGGCCGTGTTTAAAGCCACCAGGGAAGACTGGTTCATCACCTTATCCAGGAAAATGAAGAAAAGATGAGACAAAATTGCTAGCAGGTTAATACAAACTCCTTTCTTACTGTATTTCAAAACGGGCTTGGCGCCTGCCCATTGAACCATTTGTCAGTTATTTTTACTTATTTGTTTATTTTAGATGTAAGAAATTCAAGTCAGACCAATATAAGCCATAAATTAGAGAGAAAAATGTGTTGTTTTGTTTACCTGAAGATTCAAGAGAATAAGAGTCACCCCTTTAGCCATAGCTTTGCTCTCTGTGCCTCCAGTTATTGGTGGTTATTAAAAAAAATGAATGCAATAGAATATTCTGAAATAGCAAGAGACCACACATAATTTTATTAAACTGTATAGTTATAATTCTATTTTGTTATTGGTTATTTTTAGTTTGAATTTTTATATTTATCATCTATGTATTTATTGTGTGCATGTGGGCGTGGGTGTTATGAGCACAGGACAGCCATGCATGTGGAGATCAGAGAATAACCTTTGAGAGCTGGTTCTCTTCTTCCACCGTAACTAACGGATGGACCGCCAGTCATCAGGCTAGATACCA